GCCCAGAAGAGTGCAGTCAAACAATGATTTTATTGAACACACGCGTGGGAAGATGTACACTGCAACACAGCATTGATCTTCACCCAAAAATACACTTCAGAATGCTTTTAAGATATCAGGGTTCCGCCCCTTCATGCGTTAACAAGAATATGACATGCATCAGTTACAGTAAATGGTCAATTTAAAAAGCTAAAAACAGACAAAGAAGTTCCTCTTTCTATCACATTCTTCCATACATGGCAATTTGTTTCACCCTCCAGATGGTCCATGAGGGTTTGCAACCTTCTCGACTCTTCTTCTGTCACCTGTTACTAGGCAAACTCAAATGCAGTTAGAAGCTAAATGAATTCCAGGCCTTTGGCTTGGCCTTTCTTTAAAATCATTTGTGTTTGTAAACGTGTATGCTTTTTAACCTTCTGTTGCTCCAAGTCACTTACACCATGGATCGTCGGGACATCGCGCCAAACGAAGCTTAAGACCTTTAAATAGACTGAGCATCAACTCTTTCATGAGCACAACCTGCAATGTGTGTATAAAATGATTATAGCCGCACCTTTAATATAAGTTTTAATCTAACGCCAGTAGCTTTTAATGAACGTTTTAATGCAATGATAATTATGAAAGCTATGTGTAGCAGTAAAATATTTTCTTTATTCCCACACACGTCATGTGTTTGCAGCTGACAAATCTACAGCGACTTTATGATACTGTCATCACAATATAGACTACAAAGAAGGTGCACCTATTAAAGCACTAGCTAGTGTAGTTTTTGATGTCCAGCAATTTCTGATAACAAATCGTTTGTTTTTCTTTAATGACTTCCTATTAAAGGTATATCTTAGATAACCCTGAGGTGTGCCGGAATCAGACAGTCCTGGATCTGGGGAGCGGCTGTGGAGCCTCAGCCATTGCTGCAACACTGCGTGGTGCTGCTCACGTAGTAGCTAATGACGTTGACACTGGTACGCATTTGTGTGTATTTATTTATGTGTTCACATAATCTGTTATTGTTGCTGAATGTTTCTGAACTGTTAAATAAAAAAGCAGGAATTATGAGAAAGTAGGTTTGTTGTTAAAATGGTTCACATGTGCATTATTTACGCTTTGCAAGGACATACACTCTATCCCTCTAGACATCCACATGTATGACCAATTTCAAAAGTCATTCTGACTCTAGATTATTTTAAATTATGATTTATGTCCAGTTTTGCATTTTTGCTGTAGCTTTTTGCATAATCTGAAAGAAATTAATACTTTTTCCTGTGTGTTGTTTAGAATTATTGGTGGTGATACATTTGCACTACTACTGGCATTTAAAGTAAAAAAAAAAGGCTAATAGATGATGCCAAAAAGGAGGATAACATTAACAAAATAGTTATTTTTAAATACTATTGAAGCTGTTATAGTATTTTACCATATCTTGCAGTAGAAGCCTTAAATCTACTGGTTTGTGTTACAGTTGCAGCTGTTGCGACCCAAATGAACTGTGAGCTGAACGGGCTGGAGCCACCTGTTTGTCTGACCACAAACATGATTGGTTCAGAACCCGACGCCTTCAGCCTGATCCTCTTAGGTGACATGTTCTACGATGAGGCCCTC